AAAAATATATTTATAATTTTCCCTAGAGTTTTTAGAGTTTCAATTTTGTTCTTGTTTGTTTTTTTCCGTTTTGTTTTGACAACCTAGATAAGTTGACAACCTAGTTGGTAAGAAGACATTATTGTTCTCAAATCATGATAGAGTAAAATAAATAATTCTTTTTTTCCCGCTCAGAGATACCTGAAAACAAACGCATCTTTAGATCCAATGGTGATCTCCCAGGAGTGATTTTGTGAATTTTTATACTTTATGACTGAAAACTTTTTATTCCGATTATTATGATTTGAAGAAACTGACAATTGGGAACAGATTTGTTCTTCATACTCCACATCGTAACATCAAACATTTACCGTAATAATACGTAAAATAAACATAAAAACCAAATAATTTGAAAGGTGGGTTGCTGGAGTTGAAAAGATCTATATTTTGCTGAGGGAGGTTCTTTTTCACACCTACCACCCATGATTTGATTTTCTTATGATTTGAACTAATTTACAGCTGTCATTTTATTGCGATATTTTGAATGATGAACCAATTGACTCTCTGAAGACACAAGTCAATGTTATGAGAACTGAAGTAAAACAATGAGGAGCTGGAGAAGTTTAAAAGAAAATTGTCTTCTTCCGTTTCTGCCAACAGTTATAAACATAAATTTTATGGCGTTATCAGTGATTTTAGGAGGTTATATACAAAGACAACATGTGTTTACAATTGGGCAATTAACTAATTAGCTCACAAATCACATTTATTGACAACAGAAGAATTTCGAAAAATGCAGGCGGTTGACGAGAAACGAAAGAAGAACCGAGCCTTGCTTTCACGTAAATCCCGAAAATCCATGATTGACTTTCAATATCTTAAAAGGAGGAGTTTCACGTTTTCGAAAAACTACAAAAATAGTTGGTGGCTATTTTTAAGTGAGCTCAAAAGTGTCGAGCTTTTCTCTCGAAATTGCAAAGTATTCGCTTCCAAAATATTTTGAAATGCTATTGTGGCATGAAAATGGAAATAAACTGGCCGTTACAAGCAAAACTTCCAGTGACAAGCAAACTGTGCTATTATCTGGACAATTAACTCACACTCCACATTTCTTGACAATCGAACAACTTGAACAAAAATTAAGGAACCTAAAAATTGCAGGTTGTGGAGGGGAAGAGTCCTGCTTTGTTTTCTTTCGAATCCCAGCACTCCATGATTAATTTTCAATTACTTAATAGGAATTTTATGTTGTCAAAAAATAACACACAGAAGTGAAGCTGAGCTTTGCACCACTTGCGATACAACTAAAACTATCGAACTGAATGAAGATAGTTCCGAAAGACACATGCCCGAAAAAGGGAATGCAAAAACAGCATGGGAACAAAACTTAACAAGCGTTGACAAAACCTAAATCATCAAAGCAGAAACTCTTCAAATGGGCTTTTTTTTTTACAAAACTCAAAACTAGTTTAAAGCTTTCATGAACCCTTTTTTTCTTCATAAGACACGCAGGCACACAATTTTTTGCGGATCAAATGATGCAAAAAAAGGCTACTAAGCAGATATAAAACAATCCGAAACATATAAGTTCGAAAAAATGAAGTTTTAACAAACCGAGTGGTCAACCAACGTAGGAGGTGCAGGGAAAAATGTTTCCCTTGAACTGACCCAAAATTAGCTCACTAAGTCGTTAAAATATAGGCCGAAGTAATTTGGGCTGAATAACGTTTTTTAATGAAAAAAAAAAAAATTAAAAAAAAGTGTGATAACGTCAAGGTAAGTTGAACTACAAGTAAATGAAACACTAGAAACGCCATTAAAAATACGCGCAGCAAAAGGAAACCATTCCAAGATGTCGCAACAAAGACGACAAAAGATAAGCAGACAAATTTTTGGCCGAAAATTTTATTTGAAACAGAATATTTCCCGTTTGAAAAAAAAAACAAGATCTTGATCAAATTCGTACCAAGGACCTTTTCGTCCCAGGCGTATTCGTTACCTCCAGGCTAAAAAAGCCGAGAACGCTAAGACATTTGAAATAAATATAAAACAAGTACCAATAGCGATGAGTCCAGATGAGATGCCTCCAGTGAATAAAGATGTTTACGGGGAAAAAAGGGAAGCACGCGATTCCAAAACCCTTGCTTATCGCAAGGGTAAAAAATACCCGGTTGTCTTTTAAGTAGACTAAAAGTTTTAGCGTTTTTCTCTACCCTCAAAATAGCAAAACTTCTGTTTTCACTGCTTGTTGACAAGCTCTTATTGTAACAAGCTACTAAATATCCATAAGCAAACAAAATCTGCTTGTAACTGGGCAATTAACTTACACGCCACATTTCTTAGCGGACAAACATTTTGAACAAAAGTTAAGATTTTAAAAGTTGGCAACTTACAGAGGGAAACGATAAAAAAAGTCAAGCCTGTTTTTTTTCGAATCCCGGCGCTGCATAGTTGGTTTTCAATATCTTGAAAAAGTTTGAAGTTTTCGAAAAGTAACAAAACTATCTGTATCATATATGATAGCATAGTGATATTTTTTGTTTCTTTTGAGTTCAAGTTCCCCGCAGGGTTGATTTCCTGAAGGGAGGTGGTAGGGGGGCGAGGAGTTCCGTTCACTAGTCTAGTAATTCATTTTGCCTAAAGCTGGAGACAAAAATTTTCAAGAAATTGAAATACGTGGGCAAACAACAAGAAAAGTTTTTTTAGTGTAAGAAGGCTAGCATCTACATAATATAAAAAGTTTGCAAAGTGAAACTTGAATTGATTTATAATAACTGAAAACATAGGCAAAAAATTCAAAAGCGTCAAATTTTGAGATCTTTTAAACTAAAATTTTTTTTTTTTTTCAAATCTGGCCTACATTTTTTTTCTTCATTATTTGATAAACGGTCGGTGATCGCAAGTGTAACAACGCAGAAAGATTTTCACATCGCATTTTTGCCTATCGCTCTATGAACTGTGATCAATTTGTGCGGGTATTATAAATTAGCTGCTGTTTTGTTATGACACCAAAAACCCGCACAAATTGACAAAGCTCTAGAAAGTACTCAACTCTTTTTGACAACAAAAAATTTAACCCACTTTTGAAACAGAAAATTAATTGAAATTTCAATGCACGAGTGCGCTTTTATTTTAGTGCAAACCTTTCTTTCAAAATTGAAAAAAAACTTGAAACAACTTTGAAAAAATTCAAAATCAAACAGGAAAGAAATGTTGTGTTAAAACTTTTAAGACTACAAACCCACACAATCTGCAAAAGTTTAAGTTCAAGCATTGCCTTTTTTTAAGCACCATTTTTATATTTGACTCTTTCAATTTAAGTCTTTTGACATTTGGCTTCAAGATTTAAAAGAGCGTAGTTAACTTTAAGTAACATTTAATTCGGATCTAAGAACTTTTTCCAACTTTTAAAAATCCAATATCGATAAAATCTAGTCAACAGACGATGAGAAATAAACAAAAGGAAAACAAAGATTTTTGAGCTTTCGAACTTCGGAAAAAAGATTATATCGCATTAAACCTTGAAGATCAAAAGTTATAGATTGGCTTTTAAAAAAAATAGACGCAAAGGAGAAAATTGGATCAAAGAATATCTTGGAAACGTCCGGAAAACTTTACTTTAAAATGCCCACCAGATAGTTAGAAAAAAATTTAATGAACAATGAATTCGAAAACAAATAAATTACCAATTTTTCAATTTTTGAAGAACAAAACACCATTTAACAATTATGTGATTTAAAACAATATTAGAGAAAAAACGGTTGGGTCGGCACCTTTAACAATTGGAGGTGTCCCATTATTGTCCTCATCCTCAAAATAGTTCCAGCTACAGCGAATTGGATGCAAACTAAAATCCACTAAGGAAACTAGAAGCCGTTCACACTTTTCGCGCCATTTCCGTTTCGTAATTAGAGAGCGCAATTTACCAAACTTTGAGATGAATTTGAATTGAATTTCAAAAAGTACATATATGCAGTCATAAATTAATTATTATGTATCGAAACACTTCTGTAGTTATTAGAGCATTTTAAGATTTACCTAAAACAAACGAACTAACAAAACCATAAAAACCGATTAAGTAAAAAGCAATTCGTTCTTCTACAGTTAAAACGGCGTTTATGGATAATTTTTAGTTCAGTGGTGTTGCGTCAGAAGTATGCTGTTTTCCTTTTTCCTATCTAGCGAAAAAAAGTTGATTTGAAACAAAGTATTATTTCATTCGGACAGTAGTCAAATATCCCAAATTCTATCTAACCCAGGGTTGGTGCTGTTTTGAGTAGAACCAAGGGGTTAAAAAGCAAAGCCAACAGATGCTCGGAAAAAATTTAAAGAAAAACACCGAAAAAATAGAAAATTCTTCTTTTGAAGAGAGCATTGCCAAGTGACAGTTGGAAAAAAGAAAAGAACGCAAGGGTCCAAAAAGCTGACGTGTTTCTTGAAACTTCAACTTTCGAACTTACGAGAAAAAATTTTACAGAGTTTTTGCTGAAAAACAAAACCACCAAGACTTATATAAGAGTACTCACTACGTTCATTACTCTTAAAAATATATCAAACTCTTGTTAAAACTTTCAATTTCCAGAACAATTTATGATTGAAGCTTTTATGAAATAAGGGCCAATCAACTGGATTGATGTTAAATTTTTTGTTCCGCTGAGAAATCTTCAAACTAAAATCCACTTAGGAAACTAGAAGTCGTTCACATTTTGCGCGCCATTTCCGTTTCGTAATTAGAGAGCGCAATTTACCAAACTTTGAGATGAATTTGAATTGAATTTCAAAAAGTACATATATGCAGTCATAAATTAATTATTATGTATCGAAACACTTCTGTAGTTATTAGAGCATTTTAAGATTTACCTAAAACAAACGAACTAACAAAACCATAAAAACCGATTAAGTAAAAAGCAATTCGTTCTTCTACAGTTAAAAATGGCGTTTTATGGATAATTTTTAGTTCAGTGGTGTTGCATCAGAAGCATGCTCTATTTTCCTTTTTCCTATCTAGCGAAAAAAAACAGTTGATTTGAAACAAAGTATTATTTCATTCGGCCAGTAGTCAAATATCCCAAATTATCTCAGATTAAAATATCAAAAATAATTATAAGATCAAAATGTAGGTGGATGAGTACAGTGCCGCTACCCACTGCAACTGACAATCAATTTCCATTAATGTCTCCCAGCGGCACAATACAGATACAAACACAATGAAATGAATTCAAACGTTTGTTCACCAGTATAACACGATAAAAGTCATTTCAAGGTCAAGCGAGGAGCCAGCAAGAACATAACAAAGCGTTCACACGAAAGACATCAAATCTATTCGAAACTCACTTCACTTTTAAACTTTGAAGTCAAATTCTGCTGGTATGTATGTACAACTTTCAAGGTCAACTCCATTATCAAGAGTTAGGGGCAGTTGAGGTCAAATCTAAAAACAGTGACCTGACCGACCAGCCCTTTCCTAAAAGGAGAGATTGTGAATTAGAAGGGAAGGTTGTCTGTAGGGCGAGGACGAGACATTTAACAGGAATTTATGCGGAGGATTAGTGGGCGACAATTATTTGCGGGATAATCGGCAAGGCACGGTAGCTCCTACACAGCAAGTACGGGACAGAACTATATAATGAAACTAGATGAGAAATTGGCTCTAGATGTAAACAAACAACAAAATGAAGCATTAATAGGAAACTATTCGGTAGAAATCCAAATCAACATCCAAAAATAAATTGAACAGAATTCGCAAACTTGAACTGAAATTTTCATGGCATATTGAGTGTTCATTATTGGCCTTACAATTTCTATTTTATGATTATTATTATACACTAAAGCGACAGAACTAAGATTATAATAAGGATGTAATTAAGGTACAACACTAGACTAGTTTAATCAATGGCAATCTTAAACTAAACAATGAAAAAAAAAACACACAGAAAATACATGGTCATGTTTATATAAATCGGGTCCTAATTGATCAGCTCCTCTCATCAAAGTGTGAAAGGAAAATGTTTTCAATTGCAAAAGAGAATACAATAAACTTCAGGCTGGTATATCAGTTACAGATTACTGCATTAGCCGCTCCCTTTTTTGGATGCAGCTTAAATGGTAGTCGGTGTGTGAAATTGTTAGGAGAGCGCGCGTGACAAATTAGCATACTAATTAACTAAGTTAGTAATTCAAAAAAGCATCCAGAATTCATACACGCGGGCAAAAAAATATGATAATTGTGTTTCATTCAATCAGTTTGATGTTTTATGTTATTTCCTCAGTTAACCAGCACAAAATTGATTTGGTAAACACTTCCGAGCGGTCTTTTTTCTCTGGTGTAGGTAACAACCTTCATCTCCTTTAACTTCTGGTTATGATATACTTCATCATTGCCAATGGTTGCGATATGCGGTTCCAGCTGCCCCGCCCGAAGCCGTCGCGTATCCTCCCGCTGAAGCATGCTGGCTGTTCGCACCTCCTGGGTGCTTCTGTGGCATACCCATGGCACCCAGATTAACCTGCCCTCCCATTTTGAAAGCGGCAGCTCCGGATGCTCTTGGATCCCCGCTCTGGTGGTGTTGCATCATATGACTCTGAGCAGCTGCTGCGTTGAAATACTGTTGACTGTACAACTGCTGTTGAGTTGCGGCGGCGTTCGCAGCCTGTCCATAGTTCGTGGCCGCCAAGTGAAAAGCACTATAGGCCGCCGCCGGAGGGTTTCCAGTGTTGGCTGGACCTTGCGGGGGTGAGTTTGAGGCCAGACCAGCTGGCCCTATCCCCATCCCTGCTGCAGCCCCCGAATTTTTCTCTACCTGCCCCTGAAATTCAAGCGGTTTTGACACTTTTCCTTTCCTTTTGGCTCAATTTTATAGAACTAAGGGCTTCACAAAGTTAACTATACAGACCAAATATGTGTGTCATGGCCTAATAAGTCCGCATTCCAATTTTTGTAAAACCGGTAATGTTAACAAAAAAAAATCGGAGGTTTGGGGGGCACCGCTTTTACTATTTATCCAAATAAGTTAAAACCGAGAGAATTAGCTGATAAGTCTTTGAATATGGTCATTTCCTCGCATCAAAAAAGTTAGCTTTCTAAATATGAATTTAAAATATTCCATAGTCCTGGTTGATACAGTATTCTGCAATTCAATACGCACCTTAGTGTGATACATGCTCGAGTAATCTGAGCTCGTGTTGGCTGAAACAGAAACCAATTTTTAGTTTTTTTACAAAAAAAATAAACTGACAGCTATTAGAAAGCGCCAACTTATGTTTCCTAAACCGCGCCAAAGAATTTATCGGTATTGAGAAAACATAGCCAACTAACAGCTGGAATGAACGCAAGGAAACAGAAAAAAAACTTGAAAAAAAACAACTTTCGAACTTTAAAGGAAAAATATACCTTTATAGCTCTTTAAATTTCAGAAACAAATTTTGATTGGTGCGTTTTTGATAAGATTAGCACAATTTGAGAAAACTGGATCAATAGATGATAAAAATTTTCGCTGGCAAATCTGATAATAAATTTCCATTTTCGAAATTAGACGTCGATCACGTTTTTTCGTGACCTTAACATTTTTCTGCTCTATAGTGGAGTTTGCCTTCCTTTTAACAATGACTATACACTGAACTAAAAAAAAATTACCAGTCAAACCGCGAAAAATCAAAATTGAGCGTAAACAAAATGTAAGACTTTTTCTTGAAAAAAAAAAAACAAAAAAATCACCAAGACCTATACAAGAGTACTCACTACGTTCATTACTCTTAAACATAACAATCAGACAACAAACAACGAATGACAGACTTTTCAAATTTGTCAATTTCCATATCTCAAAAAATGCATTATCTTTAACCTATTGAATTTCGAGAATCTTTCAAGACTGGTGTTTTTTGATAGAACTAGTCCAATCTGAGAAAACTGAATCAAGAGGTAAAAATTGATCTTAGCCTTAAATCTAAACACAGCCTACAAAAAGTTAGAAAAATGTCATTGAAACCAAGGAAACCGAAAAACATGATGGACTTCTTCGGGATTCGAAGAAAAAGATACAGCACGTTTAAGCTCTTCGAATTTCAAGAATCTTTTATGATAGTGCCTTTTTTCATGTAACTAGCAATTTCATTTTGCTGGGAAACCTAAAAATAGGAAAAACCTGGATCAATAGGCCAATTTTTTAAATCCGTTAGAAAATCTCCAGACCTTACCCAATTTCAGCACTAGTTTATTCACGCTGTACGTTATTTTTACCTTTTACTAATTGGAGAGCGTAATTTCCCTTCCTTTAAGCAAATGAATGTAAATCGATTTTAAAAAGACGAAGCACAAAAAAAATCAAAATTGAGTGTCATCAAAATCACACGCCCTAAATAAGTGTCCTCACTTCGTTCAAATTAAATTTTAACTTTGTCAACCCACTAAACCACTGAGATTCAATCATGCTTCTTCGCACCATTTGAACATCTGTTATTGGAAACAGTAAATTGTCCTCAATTTATCCATTAAAAATGAATTTGAAATGTACTCAAAAGGAAATCAAAAGTTAAACAGCCAAAGCATAAACTTGAGCGACACAAAATTTTGAACACTTTTTTTCTCACAAAAAATACACAGCCTTAATAAGTGGGAATTAAGTACGCTCAATAAAACTAAACAAAGCCCTGTGCCTGGAACGTTTGGTATAACTAGGTGAGGTTGGCTCTCTTACCATACATTGCCGACTTGCCCATGCCCCCCTGGGAAGCTGCTGCTCCTCCACCTGCTGCCCTGGATGCTGCGTAGTTCTGCTGATGCTGCTGCTGACCCCCCATATTCTGCTGCTGTTGATGTGCATACTTCGTGTAATCCCCTGCCGCCGCCGCAGCTGAGTTCATGTAGTCTGACGACGTCTGCTGCTGTTGGGCTAAAATAAAGTAACCGACTAATCAAAAAGTAATTCTTCTTCAAATTTTGCTTCCTCTTCATGGACGATCATTATGATTAATCATAAGACACTCGCAACATCTACTGAATGTTTGGGATCCCAGACTTGATGTAAAAATTAACGGACACTGGCAACGAAAATAAAAAACAATTGATTTCTCACTCTGGAAGTATGAGCTGCCTTGGTATGGTGTCGGTCCATTTGAGTATGTCTGTTGCGGCTGCGAATTATTCGACGAAGAATTCAAATTTCCACCCGCGTTTCCCGACTGCTGTTGGGTCTTCCCTTGTGTCGAGGCTTGCTGTCCAGGCGCACTACCGGCTGCTGCTACGTTGCTTCCCGTCATTGAAGATACCGTCTGACCCGCTTGCTGATTCTGTTGCTGCTGCTGCAACGCCTGGAACTGTGCAATTCCAAACGGAGCTGGCATGAAACCTGGCGCGTTGAAAACAGCTGCCGCCGTAGGGCTGTAGTAGGGTGCTCCTTGTCCACCTCCCGCAAATTGGGCGTGGTAGAAGTATTGAGACATGGCTGGATTAGCACTAGCAACTTGTGCAGCTAAGTTCTGGGATCCTACGTTCATGCTTGGTGAGTTGTTAGCCTGTCCAGAAGTGTCATCCATTCTTCTCGACGCTGTCGTACCCGAACTCAATTTGGCGGCAGCATTACTTGACATTCCCAGTGAATATGCTTCTTGTCCGGAATGATTGCTAGCACCGTGGTCTAAAAACCATCAGAAATCGACCATCAAAAACTAATTTATTTCGCAGATGTTGAAATAGCAACATCTTTTCGATAAAACGGTACTCCCATTAAATTGAATATTCAAATGAAACATCTCTCAAGAATTATCAACTGATTCGATTCGCTCAAAAAGGGCAAATAAAAAGCAACTCACCCATTGAGTTGGGTCGCATGGCTGTGTTGCCAGAGTTCAAGAACTGGTTGTAGTTTGGGGGATGCACGGAAACGTTGTTGGAGATGACTTGGTAAGGATGCGACGCCGAACTGTTCGCCCCTAGTCCTGAGTACCTCACTTGCTGCGCACTAGACACATGCTGGTGAAGCAATCCAGCCGTCGCTGCGTTTTGACCTGCAGCGTCCAAAGTAGTTCCTGGAACGTATCCAATTTGGAAACCAGTCGGGGACGTTATTCCTCCTAAAGGAGACGCCGCCATTTGTTGCAGCTGGTGTTGCTGTTGTAAATGCTGGAGAACATCTCGACTTGACATAGAAGATCCCGATGCAGATACTGTGGATGCCGGAGCTCCGGAGGAACTGCCAGACATCTGAGACTGTGAGTTATTAGAGGACATTGCGGCCGCAGCTGACATGAAACTAGCCACTTGGCTGTTGATCGATGCGTGGATCTGACTAGAGGAGTTCAACTTCGTAGCAGAAGTAGAATCATCTGTATGTTGACCACTTTTGCCATCTAAACAACAACTTAAGATTACAACTAAGTGTGTGTGTCAAACATGTTCAAAATCATCATACTTTTGGCATCGTAGAAATTGTAAGAACAATAAGTATTCACACAGAGGCTAAGCAGAGCTTCGAATTAGTTGTGATGCAAAAACTATTGAAAATCTTCCTTTCAAAATCCAAAAAATTACACTTTGGAAGACACTACATATTTCACAACTCAAATCGAAATAAAACTTGAAAAATTCTTTGTCTGAAGAATTGGATAGGCAAAATCATTTTGGAAAAAATTAAATATATTGTCCTAAATTACCACAGAATTTGAGGATCTCCACAATTTTTTGTCTAAGAGTAGGAAGAACAGAGCATCCTTGCCTAAATTTATGTTGGTAATTTTTATCTTAGACAGATTTACGACTTTCTCGAGGGGGGGAGGGGGAGGATTTTCAGCTTTTATCGAACTTTTTTGTTAGTTAGGTCGACCAAATTAATTTTTCGAGCTCTCCTGAAGCACTGAAAAATCCCTGTTTGCCAAATTTTTTGCGCCACAGGCAAAATTTTAAAGAAGGCCAAATATGCCTTTTTAGGCAATTTTTGGAAAATGTTGACAAAAATTTGCATTTTTTCGGCGCGCGCTCCCCCCTCAAAATTAGTATATTTTGGCGCCAAAGGCGCCTTTAAAAAATTATTAGGGTCTGTCACCAAAAATGGATATTTCACTATGGTACAAAGCCAGCCCCCCCCCCCCCCCCATCTCCCCAAATCCGACCCTGTTCCTTTTATTAAATTTTTTTACGGAAAAGAAAAAGCATAAAAACAATTATTTCTGAAATTCCGTACTTTGTTATAGAGAAATTACTAGTAAACAAGGATATTTGGAAATCTTTCCAAAATGTAACCCTTAACTCCCAAAACTTGCGATACAATGAATACAGTAAGCACAACTTTGGATTTTCAAAAAAAAAACACAGATTAGAATATTTTGAATTTCAAGTTCAGTCTATGATTGACGAAATTATGATAAATTGGAACCAACTCGAAAAAACTGGATTAATGACCGAACTTTTTATTTCGTTGTGAAAACAAAAACAAAAACCACATTTGGAACCGGGAGTCGTTCACGTTTTTTTTCGCGCCGTTTCTATTTTCGTAATTAGAGAGCGCAATTTACCTTAATTTAAGCAGTTGAACGTAAATGGAGCTCGAAATATATATCTAAGTGCAATCATAAAAAATTAATGCATGAAATCAATTCGATAGTTGTTTAAGCAGTTTGACTTTTTCAGGAAAAAATCATAAGACCTATATAAGTAAAATCACTGTTTATTAACGAGAAAGAGAGCAGGCGAAAAAACGAAAACCAAAAATTAAGCAAGGATATTTAGTTTTTGTGACAAACTGAACAAATATTGAAAACTTAGTTGATCGAAAATTGGTCGATCAAGGAAATCACAAAAATGTATATTTCACTGTAGTAGCATATGTTGAGAAAAACATCCTTTGGAAACTCTTTCAATTTCAAGAAGCCTAAATTTCAGTTGGTAATATTATTCTTATGCATAAGATTCCTTTTATTAGCTTTCGTACGAAGAAAAAACACAATAACCTTTATTACTAAAATCCTGTACTTTGCGATAAAAGAGCTTAATAACAAGGAAAGCCGGTTACTGCTCAAGTAGCACAGATTCCGACCAGGACAAAAAAGAAAAAAGTTTTTTCAAATTTGTGTCGTTTTTTTCTGCGTAGTGGGACAAAAAAAAAGTGAACGAAAAAAAGCACCTGGGCATTTAAGACATTCATAGTAAAATCAGCCATTTGAAAAACCCAATTAGAAAATACTAGAAAAACAAAAAGAAAATTGCTAAAAAATCAAAATATTTCAAAAAATCTTTCGCAGAAAGTTTTCGAATTTTGAAAACTTTGATTCCCAGATTGGCGCCAAAAACTTACTTAACCCGAGTAAAACTGAGTTTTAAGGGATCAAAATTAAGCATCAATAAGCTCATGTAAGCCTGCCTAGCCTCACCTTATAAGCTTGCACTTAGATCGAAAATTTCAAACTGGTTTTCAAATTTTTTTATGTCATTCGAATCACTGCTGAAAGAGCTTTAATATGATATATCACTCGACTCATTCCGATGATTACTTGTGGTATCTGATTTTGCGTGGAAAACTGAAAAAAAAAAGAAAAAAAAACTAACACACCCTAACAATGTTCAGAACAAAAACAATGATCTTTTAGAAATCTTTCCATGAAACCTCCAACAAACCCCAACCAAACTGACAAGATTCATAGAGAAACGATGCAGAAACTCGCAAAACTAGCAATACAAAAACATAGCAAACGCAATTTTGGAATTTCAAAAAACAGCAGGTTAGAGCTTTTCGAAATTCAAGAAAAATGTTTGTAAAATTTGAACCAACATCAGAAAACTTGATTAATCACCGACTTTTTTATGCTGGGAAATCTTGAAACCGAAAACCACAATCGGACCCGAGAGTCTTTCACATTTTTTGCACCATTTTTACTTTGGTAATAAGAGCGCAATTTACCTAACTTTTACACAGATGAATTGGAATGGAGCTCGAAAAGATATATACCTAAGCGCATTCATAAAAGAATGAATATATATGAAATCACTTGTATAGTTATTTGAGCAGTAAACAAGAAAACTCATCACGATCAATATAACTGAAAAGGACATCGTTCTTCTAACTTTAATAAGAACTAATGAAAAAAATGAAAACCAAAAAAAATTATCAAGGATATTTGGTTATAATGATAAATTGAACAAATATTTTCTTATGCTTTTCTTTTGGTAACGGGCGGCTGAACAGGTAAAATCTAAAATAATAAATGTAAGCACAGCTTATAAACCAAAAATAGAATAAAAAAGGATAGCCGGTCGGTTACTGATCAAGCAGCACAGGAGGTTGCGACCATAGTCTATATTACAACGCAATCATGAAAAAAAAATGAAAAAGGTTGAAAACCAGGAGAACTTAAAATTTCGTATGTCTCGATGAAGGACACAAAAGGCTTGACTAAAGCTGAAAGTATGCATCTGGTATTTTTTTGAATTTGTTAGACTGATGTGGACGAAATGCGTAATTTCAAAAATTGTGCTTAGCCCAAAACCTTAGTTGTTTCTCTACTAAAATAAGTTTCCAAAAACATAAGTTCTTTTACAAAACATAAGGAGTAGCCGCTTTTACAGGGAAAAAAATTGCGCAAACGCTTCCTTCGATAGAACTTTTTATCTCAGATTTGATAGGGCACTTTTCAAGAAAATTCAATAAGTTACTAAAAAAAGTCAAAGTTCAAAAACATGATTTTCTAAAAATCGTAACTTTTTTCTGCTACAAACAGGTATTGGTCGGTAAAAAAAGAAGGTTCCTAAAATTGGTTTTCTCGATTGAACACTTAACCTGAGAATAGGCACGGCTTTTCCGAGGACGATAACTTTCTGTGAAGCCGTTATTGCAAGGAAACTTCTCACTGTTATCTCAATTGAACCCACAAACTCAGGTTTGCTATGCTAGTTTCGGGAAACGTCAAAAAGATTCAAAAAACGGTGATGTGGACGAAATGCGTATTTTCAAAAATTGGGCTCAGCCCAAAACCTTGGTTGTTTCTCTACTAAAATAAGTTAGAGGAGTGCAAACTTTTGAGAATTTGGAATTTTTCCAAAGACAACAGTTCTTTTACAAAAATTAAATAGTAGCCGCTTCTGCAGGGAAAATTTGCGCAAACTCTTCCTTCGATAGAACTTTTCATCTCAGATTTGATAGGGCACTTTTTAAGAAAATTCAATAAGTTACTTAAAAAAAGTCAAAGTTCAAAAAAATGATTTTCTCAAAATCGTTGCTTTTTTCTGCTACAAACCGGTTATGGCCGGTAAAGAAGAGAAGATTCCAAAAATCGGTTTTTTTGATTAACACTTAACCTGAAAATAGGCACGGTAATTTTCGAGTTAAGTCAAAACACAGTTAATTCGATTGAACCAAAAAAAAAACAGATTTGCGAGAGCAGTTGGAGAGACAAGTCAATAATTTTCGAAAAGGGTGAAAAAAAATAAACTTTTGATTTTCCCAAGGGCAATCATTTTTTGTGTCATTTTTTGAGGATCTCCACAATTTTTTGTCTAAGAGTAGGAAGAACAGAGCATCCTTGCCTAAATTTATGTTGGTAATTTTTATCTTAGACAGATCTACGACTTTCTCGAGGGGGGGGAGGGGGAGGATTTTCAGCTTTTATCGAACTTTTTTGTTAGTTAGGTCGACCAAATTAATTTTTCGAGCTCTCCTGAAGCACTGAAAAATCCCTGTTTGCCAAATTTTTTGCGCCACAGGCAAAATTTTAAAGAAGGCCAAATATGCCTTTTTAGGCAATTTTTGGAAAATGTTGACAAAAATTTGCATTTTTTCGGCGCGCGCTCCCCCCTCAAAATTAGTATATTTTGGCGCCAAAGGCGCCTTTAAAAAATTATTAGGGTCTGTCACCAAAAATGGATATTTCACTATGGTACAAAGCCAGCCCCCCCCCCCCCCCCCATCTCCCCAAATCCGACCCTGTTCCTTTTATTAAATTTTTTTACGGAAAAGAAAAAGCATAAAAACAATTATTTCTGAAATTCCGTACTTTGTTATAGAGAAATTACTAGTAAACAAGGATATTTGGAAATCTTTCCAAAATGTAACCCTTAACTCCCAAAACTTGCGATACAATGAATACAGTAAGCACAACTTTGGATTTTCAAAAAAAAAACACAGATTAGAATATTTTGAATTTCAAGTTCAGTCTATGATTGACGAAATTATGATAAATTGGAACCAACTCGAAATAACTGGATTAATGACCGAACTTTTTATTTCGTTGTGAAAACAAAAACAAAAACCACATTTGGAACCGGGAGTCGTTCACGTTTTTTTTCGCGCCGTTTCTATTTTCGTAATTAGAGAGCGCAATTTACCTTAATTTAAGCAGTTGAACGTAAATGGAGCTCGAAA